CCCCAAAACCCCAAAACCCCAAAACCCCAAAACCCCAGCTCCATAATATCAGAGTATATTCGAGTATGGTTCTAAAAATAAGATAAATATTTTAATATATTATCTTAAAGTGCATACATCATCACTTTTAAATTTAAATGAACAAGCAAGAATTCGCAGATATCATCTTCGGAGATAAACCAGAAAAGAGAGCCAAATGGTTCGAACTTTTTAAAGATCCAGTATTTGTCCCCAAATGGAATGTAACACTAGAGTAAACTAGAGAAGATGCTTATCAAATGCTTAAGAAAGTTACTGATGCAAAAATAGTATCTGTCACTGACTTCCTTCATGATCCAACCAACATTTTTACTGCTCATGAATTCTTAGGACAGGTTAACCCCTCTACAGGCACCAAGTTCACAGTTCAATTTAATTTGTTTGGAGGCACTGTTGTTGGTCTACACACTGAGAGACATAAATATCTCTTCCCAAAAATTGACAATCTCTCAGTTATAGGATGCTTCTGCCTTACTGAGCTAGGATATGGAAATAATGCTGTCAAAATGGAGACTACTTCAACCTATGACGATTCCAAAAAAGAATTCATTGTTCACACTCCAACTGTGCTCAGTCAGAAGTATTGGATAACTAATTCAGTTTGCCACGCTAACTATGCAATTGTTTTCGGACAGACTATTGTAAAAGACAAAAATGAGGGAGTAAATGCCTTCCTAGTTAGAATCAGAGATGAAAAGGGGTAAGTCATGCCAGGAGTCAAGATTGTTGAAATGGGCTAAAAGCTAGGACTCAACGGTGTTGATAATGGGGCACTTTACTTTGACAAGGTTAGAATTCCTAGAGAAAATATGCTAAACAAATATGCAGATGTAGATGAAAGTGGAAAGTTCCATAGTGATACTAAGAATATCCCTTCTAGGTTCTTCAAAGTGACTGAGAGACTTGTCTCTGGTAGACTTTGCATCGCTTCCCTCGCTATGGGTGGAACAAGATCATGTCTCTATATAGGCATAAAGTATGCTATGTAAAGAATGGGAGTTGGTGAATCAGGCCTAAGTGACACTCCAATCTTCAAGTATCAACTCTAATAAAATGCTATACTTCCACTGCTAGCAAGATCAATTGCTTTGAATATCTCCCATAACAGAACAAAGCAAATCTTTGCTAATCCATAGGGACATGAACATGAACTCCTTATGATGTGCTGCATTGATAAGTGTTTAGTTGTCTGGAATTTTGATAAAGTCATTACCACTTGCAGAGAGAGATCAGGTGGTCAAGGTTACCTTGCTTGTAATAGATTTGGAGATTATCTTGCTCTCGCTCACGCTGGAATGACAGCTGAGGGAGATAATAGAGTCCTTATGATTAAAATTGCTAAGGATATGATGACTAACATTGGTTCTAAAAAATCTGCTCTTCCAGCAATGTAATTCTGCCCCAAAAACTAAATCCCCTAGTTCCATGATATCACCAGTCTTGAAACCTTATTGGACTTGCTAAAATTCAGAGAAATTTACAACTTCAACTCATTAGTCTAACAAATCTAGCACAAGACTAAGACTGAAAAGAAACCACAGTTCAATGTCCTTATGTTCGAGGTTTCTGACATCATTCAAAACCTATCAACATCGTATGGTGAAAGACAAGCCATGCAATTCTGTATCGATAAACTTGCCTAGATTTCGCATGTCCCAACCAAATAAACCTTTGAACTTATTTTTAGAATTTATGGTATTGATAGTGTCCTAAGAGAATCTGGTTTCTATCTATCTGAGGGTGTCGTTAGTGCCCAAGCTGTTAAGAACGCTCACGGATCTCTTATTAAGCTTATCAAGGATTTGGCAGTTATCACTCCAGATATTATTGAAAACATGAATGTGCCAGTTCATGCTCTCCACACTCCCATTGCAGGTGATTATGTCAAGTATAATGAAGAGCCATATTTCGGTGAAGTTGTTAATGCCAAGCTTTGAGGAATACATAGGCATGCAAGCATCCTTCCAAGATTGATATTAAATTCGTTTTATTAAAGAATAATAATAACTCTATTGCAATTCACTATTTCGAGATCTAGGGGTTTTGGGGTTTTGGGGAGATCGGAAGAGCGTCGTGTAGGGA